GAGTATTTATTAATATGCATAAATCAGCATATGCTCTTTAAACTTTGTAAACATGCTTGTGTGTAAAAAAAGGCTTTGTCGTATGTATGAAAATGTGCGCACATTGCAGCACCAAATAGACTGTTAAGAATACAAAAAAGCATAAGTAACAAGGCCAGTTACTATGTCTCCAAAAACAGCTAATTTCAGAGATTGATGAAATGCTAAAGGGGAATTGAGCTGATGCACTGGTAGATGGCATTGAAATATGAAAATAAATTATATAAATCGAGGCGATTGAATAAGCACAAATTGTAGCGGAAATGGCAGGAAATGAGAGGAAAAAGCGAAGAAAAAAACGGGAAGGTAGAATGGATTATTCGTAGAATTAGGCAGGAATAGCCATAAAATAGAAGGACTGAACGAAAGCCCAGATATAAAAGTAAATAGACACAAGTTTCTAGTATCTAGCAGTGGTCAGTTGATTGCAGAACTCAGAAATCCTATTCGATTTCACGGCCTATGTAGAAGCAAGTGCCCTTATCTGGCATCAAGTTTTTCACATTATTCAGGTGCTTTAAGTGCGCATTGAATTCCAGAAGTTCTTGCCTCATGTAGTCCAGTTCATGTTGCCAGGCTGCCTTCTCTGCAGTTAAACGGGCGATCCGTTCGCGAAGATGGGACCTAACGGCAGACGAGGTGAGCTGATCGAAACGCGCCTTGGCGTCGCCGTCTGACGGAGAGGCGTCAACATCTGCGTTTTTAGCTACAAATATGGGGATTTAGGAAAAAAATGATGCAAAGTTTTTAGATTTGTCGCATAGTTAATTAGTTACTATATATTTTTATTTTTTTATTTTTTTATTTTATTTTATTTTTTTGTATAAACACCTTAAAATCGGTTCATTGCATTCATAATTTCATAGTCTAATATTTATTTGCCTGAGCTACTTGTACATGGTGGGAATAGCGAAATTACCAATATGGGTCTTATTAATACAAAAAAGCAGTAAAATTCATTTCATAGTCGTCAAGTCTTTCAAACAATGGCGTGCAAAGACGTCATTCAACAGCTTACTCAGCAAAAAGAAAGCCCCGTGAAATTACACGTGGCACGGAATAGGTTATAGTGAATAGAGTGTTTACTATGTTGAAAAACTGGTACTTGAAATAAAAAATATCTCAACAGTTTCATGTCAGGAAACCATTTTTTGGTAAATGCAGACGCGATTTGGTAGGAGAAGGAAGGAAGATTGTTGTGATATGTTGATTTAGCTTCAAGAAGATTGTCGAGTGAAAGACAATACCAGATCAAGAAACTAGTTTCTAAAAAGACTTCACAGAAAACACGAAGCTTAGACTATTGGCCAAATGTAAGACTATCAACTCATTTTTGACCATCGCTCATGCGAACTGAATCATTTATCCGATTTAATATAAGATTGTAAGATGCTGGTAGCATAAGCTCAGTACAGATGCCTCAAAGTTGGAGAATGGTCCTCTGGTAACTAGGATCAAATGATAAAACACAACTCCCGATATATAATACCTGAAGGGCCTGATGAAACAAAATATCTTAATAAGAAACCTTCAAAAAATATTTACTGTCATAATAACTGCATTTTTTTCTAATAAAGTCTTCAACTTATAATGATGCTGGCCGATAAACGATTGGTAACGATTGGTAATGACAATGTATACATTATCTGATGAAGACTATAAAGTTGTTTTAATAAAAAAACCAAAATACTATGGATAGGTTACTAGCTGATTTTGTAAAAGGATTATTCATAGAGAACTATTTTTATGCAAACAATACTCTCCAGCTTAGCATGTTAGTATCGCTAGGCTAATTGACAACTAATGGTACAATTATTTTGGGGCATCAAATTACAAAATAGATTTTTTTGAGATATTCATCTTGTCTAGAAATCACATTTTGGACTAGTAAATGTAGGCAAGCCTCTTGCTTTGTTGGCTCCATACAATGTCTTCATGGAGGCTACGGGAGCACTGGTTCTAAAATTGGAATATCATCTAAATGAATATCATCTCTTATTTCCTCCCTAGCAGACTTTGTAAGTACATAAAGGCTGGAATAAAGCCTATCGCAAGACAGAACAGTAAAAATGACTAGAATGGTGTGAAGTTAGGTCTGGAAAAGTAAAGAGGATAGTTATAATTAAATTCCTTCTATTGAACTATGAGTATAAAGCACTAGATTATATGCGAGTGGTGTTATCAACAAATGGGTCAAAGTCCTTTCATAAGCAAACTATGCAAAGAGAATGAGGATGCCTAGACGTAGATACCAATGCAAAATGAGAATATGTATTTTTGTTTATAAGTAGGTTTTCGAGACTACCTGTAGATCGTTTAAATGAGATGCATTCACAATATTTCTCTAAAGTGATTTAAGACTGTTAGTTGAATTTTCCCACAAGCATGTGAGTAGACCTTAAATTT